TGATGTTGCAACTTTAACATATCCATAATGCTAGACATCCTCAGCATATACCCTGGCTGTTACAGCCCTGGCCAAAAGATATCAACCACAGCTACTCTAACTTGTTTTACAAAGGAAGAGCAATAACCAACTTCAGCAATAAGAATAAAATGAGAGTGTTTTGAATGTAAAATGGATTAATAAATTATATTGCTGCTTTGCTGAAGGGATGAAAAGGTTTTATTTGTGTTAGAGGAGCCATTTCTGTGTTACAAATGTCTGAAGGAACACTGTTCACAGCTCAGGAATCACAAGAGAACAATCCACTGTGCCTTGATTTAAGCCTTCAAGTACTGTCCTCCAAAAAACAGAGTATCTTGTAAACACATTCCAGATCAATTAAGCAACAGTCTGGAGTGTTAAAAGGGTTATTTCTTATTTTCACATTTCAAGTAGTTTTAGGAAGTGGTCATTCCCTTTTCTGTCTTAATAAAGCTTGTCCTACTTAGAGATGACAAGAGCCATTTGCTATGAGGTGACAGGCTGTACCTGAGCTCTGCCAGAAAGGGCAGCTGAGCAGGGCACACAGGGGTGCTGGGAGAGAGCTGGCAGGGCTCAGTGCTGAGGGGAGGGAAAAGAAGCAGGAGAAGGGTAAGAGAGGGAAAGCCATAAGGAAGGGGCAGAAAGGTAGACCATGAGGGATGAGCAGAGATCTAAAATCACAAAAATCTTCCAAAATCTCAGAGATACCAAATTTCTACTTGCTCTCTCCAAGCAGCTCCAACAGCCCTTTGGAAAACAGTCACTACTCCTTGCCCAACCATCTCCTCCCATGGGTGACAATGTCCTGGTGCTACCAGCCCCTGCATGAATTCCGTGACCTTAGGAGCACAGCTGGGATTCACTGGGATACTTTTTGTTGTTTTAATTAGGACTCTTATGAACTTAAATTAAAAGAGATTGTTACTGCTCTTCCAAAGTGAAATACAAAGCAGGTAAAGGAACAGAAATTTCATGCCCAACCTCACCACATTATTTTGTGTGTTTTAGTGCTCCCTTCCGCTGTGAGCTTGTTTCCAAAGGATCCTTACCACAGTCAGAGTAGGGCAGGGAGATTTAGGGTGTTTGTTTCCTCCCAGAGGCTGGCATTAAATAATAGGTAAGGCAAGGGATTGTATCAACAATAATACGATTAGACTGTTGGATGCGGAGTTAACATTTAAGGAGGGCAAGCCAGCATCAAGCCCCTGCTTAGGAGAAAATAAAAGAGGTAACCAGCCTTATCAGCTGGAAGAAGCTTGAACAATGCCTAATGATGTGAAGACATACAGTGAGCCCCAACACATCAGCTTGTCTGTTTAGGCAGTCAAAAAAGCTGAACACCAGCCTAGAGGCGCCCCTGCAGTCTGCCAAAACAAGTCCAAACTGATGAGACCCCTACACACTGCAGTGTTTGCTAGGGATTTTCTAGTTTGATGTTAAGTTTTCCCCCCCACTTCTCAATACCCAGCATGAAATGCTAAAACAGTGTGTTTACCATCGTTTTCATTTAGCGTTCCTGTGCTGCTCTTACAGCTGCATTTGAAGTTAATGGAAATTCCTCTTTGAACATGTGAAACGCTGTGTAACGCTAAGAACTCTTGACAACAATCCGGCACTTGATATTTGCCAGACACTTTAATAGCTTCAGCCCCAGTCTCTCAGTTCTCCTGCTGTAGGCATGATAACGTGCCCAGTGCCATCGCTGTGCTGCAGAAATGATTTAATTAATGTGGGAGGAAGCTGGGTGCCATAGAGAGAGAAGCACAGAAGCTCTCACAACTGTCACCCTGTGTGAGGGGAAGGATAGTAAATAGAATAAGTGAGGCCTGAGGCTGTATGTGGAATGATCAGAGCAAAAAGGCAGCACTGTAATCATACAGCAAGGCATGGGCCTCTGAAAAAGAGTCTGTGGTTATGCAGTTAAAGGCACAAGAGCTTGTACACAGAGCTGGACACATTGCATCTGGAGGGGTATTTCTTCTGCTTGGAGAACTTGTAACCTTAGCATTTTTAGTGTGTGATTTTGGCCAAAAGGTGTGCTTTCAGTCTCAGTGCTGCTGTCTCATATCCTGATGAGCTTCTGTAGGTGAGCACTCACCACACTGCCATGTTTAAAGGTTCTGTTGATCTGCACTTTCTTATTTTTTGTGTGTAGGTCACAGCAGTGCCCTTTTCCTTTTTATCTGTTGTATTCCCTGGACTCTTGTTATCTCTTAGTGAAAAGGGTACCTACCACATGTTCCAGCTCCAGCCCCACAGCCTCATCTCCGTTCTGCTCACCAGGCATGTTCACAGCTTAAGCACATCACCTTTTATAACTCCAGCACTATCTATGTGCTGATTATGAATTAATCTCTTCAGAGACTCACAATTAGTGAAACAAAACACGTGCTTTGTATAGGGGGTCCTATTGTGCTCAATACTTACTCTTTCCTTTCTGGAGGGTTGATATCAGAATTGTTTTAAGTATATGGGCTTTAAACCACAAATCTTCTCTCACAAACAGCAAAACTGATTGTTCTTTAGTTGAATTAACCACCAATGATACAGAAGGAAGCCCTTCTGTTCTGCTCAAGGTTTCTATATGTATCAAATCCTCCCCAAAGCTCTTGAGATTAATATTTTATAAGTTCTCATGTCAATTAGGTCAAATACTAACCTCATTATTCTCCCATTTAAAGATTTCTAAACTCTCTTTCTGCAGACATATCTAATTATTTTGCTTTGCTAAGCTGTAGCTGTCCTGTTTTCCCGGTGGGATGCTGTCCCTGACTCCAGCAGCACTGCCTGGCAGAATGTGGCTGATTTGGCATAAACTTACTGAAACCTTCAGGTGGGAAGGGACCCCGGGGCATTCCTCCTACAGCCTGCTGCTCACAGCAGGGGCAGCTCTGAGGTCAGATCAGTCTGCTTGGCACTTTATTGGGTCTGTCCTTAAATGCCCCCAAGGATGGAGACTGCAGAACCTTTCTGGACAGTCTGCTACACTGCTTGGCTGTCCTCACAGGGAGCAAATTTCTTCTTATGTCATGTCTTACGTAAAGTGTTCAGTCATGCCTGTTGTCTCTTGTCCTCTCACCGCTGTGAAGAGCCTGTTTTCATAGCAGTGCTGGGTCCCCCTGAAGCTGCCTCTTCTCTGGGCTGAAGAAGCCTTATTCCATCAGTCTCACCTTATAGAGCCCCGACTGTCTGGGTCACCTCCAGTAGGATGGAGACACCTCCTGTGCTCCCAAGACAGCCGGCTGGAAGACCTAGAAACACTCTGACTTTCCTTTAAGGTGATCCCTGAGCTCTGGTGGAGGCTGAGGTCCCTGCAGTACACTGCACATGGTGACAGAGCACTGTCCTCACAGCCCCTGGGTAAGAACTCCCAGATTGCGCCCTCTGCCTAGGGCTGTCACCCTCCCTGCAACACTGAGATCCAGGGGTGTGATCCTGCACATCTGGTGAAATAAACCCCTCAGTGTCATGAGGGGAAGCCCTGCTCATTCAACCTGATTTCCTTCTAGGACAGGGTAACCCACCTAGCTGATCTAGGAAAGCCAGTAGATATAATCTTTCTGGACTTCAGCAAAGCTTTTGATACTGTCTCGCACAGTATCCTTCTGGACAAAATGTCCAGCACACAGCTGGATAACCATGTTATGCAATGGGTGAGCAACTGGCTCACAGGTCGAGCACAGAGAGTTATAGGGAATGGGGTAACCTCAGGATGGAGTCTGGTCACTAGTGGGGTTCCACAGGGCTCCATCTTAGGCCCAGTTCTCTTCAACATATTCATTAACAACCTGGATGCAGGACTCAAAGGAATACTAAGTGACTTTGCTGATGATACTAAATTGGGAGGAGCTGTCAACTCCCTGGAAAGCAGAGAGGCCCTGCAGAGAGACCTTGACCTGTTAGAGGGCTGGGCAATCACCAACCATACAAAGTTTAACAAGGGCAAGTGCCGGAATTCTGCACCCGGGATGGGGCAACCCTGACTGTGTGTAGAGGCTGGAGAGCTGCGCTGCAGAAAGGGACCTGGGGATCCTGGTCAATGGCAAGTTGAATATGAGTCAGCAGTGCCCTGGCAGCCAAGAGGGCCAACCGTGTCCTGGGGGGCATCAGGCAAAGCATCACCAGCTGGTCGAGGGAGGGGATTGTCCCACTCTGCTCTGCACTGGGGCCACCTCACCTTGAATATTGTGGCAGTTTTGGGCACCACAATATAAGAAAGATATTAAGTTATTAGACAGTATCAAAGGAGAGCAACAAAGATGATGAAGGGCATGAGGGGGAGCCGTGTGAGGAGCAGCTGAGGGCACTTGGTCTGTTCAGCTGGAGAAGAGAAAACTGAGGGGAGACCTCACTGCAGTTACAACTTCCTTGGGAGGGGGAGAGGAGAGGCAGGCACTGATCTCTGCTCTGTGGTGACCAGGGACAGGACCCAAGGGAATAGCATGAAGCTGAGTCAGGAGAGATTTAGGCTGGATATCAGGAAAGGGCTCTTCCCCCAGAGTGTGGTTGGGCACTGAACAGGCTCCCTTGGGAAGTGGTCACAGCTCCAAGCCTGACAGAGCTCAAGAAGCATTTGGATGATGCTCTCAGGCACATGGTGTGAGTTTCGGGAAGGTCCCGTGCAGGGCTGGGAGTTGGACTCCATGATCCTTGTGGACCCCTCTAAACTCAGCATATTCTGTGATTCTATGCTTGCAGGACTCTAAGAGCAGCAGGTCAGTGCTCCTTGGCGTGAGGCGGGAGAAGGGGTGTCACGGCACTGCCAAGGGCTCACAAGGACGTGCGCTGCAGCGATGCCAGCCGTGGTCAGCGGGCCGAGGGGGCTGGGCCGGTGTTCTCCATCCCTCCGCGCCGCTCGGTGCCGTGCCACAGGCTCTCCCCGGGGGACACGGCCCCGCACCGTCCCACCGTCCCGCCGCCTCGCTCGGGGACGGGGGGCGTGGCCACGGCCGGGGGGCGTGGTCAGGGCGCGGCGCGGCCCCTCCCCCGGGCAGGGGTGGGCGGGGCGTAGCGCGCGCGGCCGCGCGGTGTCACAGCGGCTGCCGCCTCGCTCGCGCCCGCCGCCGCCGCCGCCGCCGCCGCCATGGACAGCGACGAGGAGACGCTGGAGGAGGTCGTGGAAGGTGCGTGTCCCCGCGGCCGTGGGGGAGCGCGCCCCGCCGGGCACGGCGGCGCCGCAGGGCACCGGCGGCCTTCCGCGCTGCTGAGGAGTCCGGGGAGGAGCGCGGGGTGGCGCGCGAGCGGCGGCGGGCCGGAGCGGGGCGGCCGGCCGGCGGCAGCGCATGACATCAGCGGGGCTTATGCAACGGGCGAGCCGGGGCCGCCGCCGCCGCCGCCGCCGCGCACGTGCGGGGTCTGGGCCGGGGGAGCCGAGGCCACGGTTCGGGCTGGCGCTCTGGGGGCCCCGCCGCTGAGCGCCCCGGGCGCGGCGGGAGGCTCCGCATCCGCCGGGGCACGGCGGTGGCGGCTGCTCAGCTCTCAGTGTCAGAAATAACTAGTGTCACAAATAAACAGTCGGGGATTTTTTTTGCCGCTGCCGTGCCCCCGCTCGCACTCCTGCAGCCCGCGCTCCCCACCCCGTGCGGTGCCCGGCGCTTTTCCCCCGCCGGTGGCGGAGGGGCCGGGGGATGCCCGTCCTTGGGGAGAGTGCAGGGAGCAGGGCGCTGCAGTTGCGCACCTGCAGATGGAGAAGGGAGAAGGGAAAAGGAAAGGCGGCTGTAAGAAATAGCCGTGGCCACATCCATGGGCAGCGGGGCGGGAGCCATCCGTAAGGGAGCAGGGCAGGCCACCTCCTAGCCAATATACACGCCCTGTGTATGTGTGTGTGTGTGTGTGTGTATACACACCTGTATATACACCTGCATATACACGCCTCTTGCGAGTGGAGGACTAACCCTTGGAGAGTTTTAGACCAGAGGAGTGAATTACTCTCCGGGAGTGAATTAGTGCTGGAAACCTCCTTGTCACGCAGGAATGCGGCTCCCCAGCGCAATGTGTCATCCCGTGAGGCGCCCGGGAGCCGGGCACGGTTCTGGAACAAAGCACGGCATCCCTGCGTGAAGGCGCCTGCTCCCCGAAAGGTTCCTCGCGGGGACCGCGGCCCTGCCGGGAGGAGCGGTCCTGGGTTTTTCAGATGCTGGGATTAAGCGCACACGGAGCAAGGAGCTGCCTGCGATAAGATGCCGGTGTGATGCTCATTGTTCCGCCGTGGGCTGCTCGTATCCCCGTGGCAGGAGGATTAGGCCTCAGAGCATGTTGCTCCAGCGAAGGCATTTTGCACGGTGGCTTAGTCTGACGACAGATGCGAGCTGAGCAAGCTGAGCAGCTGCTGCTCGGATCTGGGTTTGTTGTCTCTAGGTATGTGGTATCGGAGCCGAAGGGAAGCTCTGCTGTGTAAAACATGGGTGTGAGGGAACTGAGGTACGAGTGGGGTGTGCCCTGTGCCCTAAGAGACGTGGTTTTCCCCTCCTTTCCCTCCCCACTCCTCAAATCTGCCGATGGCAATTGTGTCTGGGGCAAAGAGTCATAGTTTTGATCCCTATGTCACAGATAAATACATATTTGCCATATCCTGGATTTGCTTAGCATTCAGCTAAGGAAGCGAATTTTCTAAGCATGTTTTATTCAGCAGTGTATATGAATATCTGTATATGAATATCTCTATTTGAATATCTGTATATGGGTATCTGACGGGAGCAGGGTGCTCTGGGGGTTAGGATGACTGGGTGGTTTTGCATTTACCAAAAGGAAGTTAGAAATATGAAAGAAATCAGCACTTTTTTTGGAGAGGGTGGGCGGGGGGAGGTTGGTTTTCTGTTGTTATCCCAAAAAAATCCATCTGGCACCTTTGTGGCCAGAATCTTTTATTGATGATGCACATTGTATGTCATCTGTTAAGTAATACCGACAATAAAGGGCTTTTATCTTTGATTTGTGTACATCAGTGGTTCCGGTAAGTGACCCCATTGTGAACTAACCCCTATTAGTGTAATTCCTTTTCTTGAAAAGGCTGAGCTTAAGAAGAAATCTTGAGAGACCCTTAAGGAAATAACAAAAGTGAGATATTGCAATAATTTAAAAATACGTTTACACCTTTTCCAAAAGGTTTGCTTTTCCAAATGGAGGAGAGTGATGAGAAAGGGAAGTGGAGCACACTGCTACCACTGAAATAATGAGGACTTTTTCCATTGACTTAATCTGAAACAGAAGGCCTAAGGCCTCAGCCATACAGGAAAAGTTGCATCTATGTTATGAAACTTGAAATTTCTTTTTTTTCCCCCTATTGACTAAGAGAGACTGTGTGTTTCTTGTTTTGTTGAAGTGGGGGGGGTGGCGATTTTTATTTTTTTTTAATAAGGGGAAATCTCTGGCATATTAGAATAACTGGATTCTTTGTATTGTGGCTGAGATTAAGACCCTGTATAGAGGCCGTGGGATCAAAGCTGACCATTTAAGTCTGTGATATAGTCTCTGTCCTACTGTGCTAAAGTCCTGACATGCGCTCTGTGTGTAAGCATGGCAGCTTTTGTGCTGGGCTTTGCATTCCAGCAAAATCTTGACAAAACTGAATAGTCACAGAGAACAAAGATGCAAGGGTTTTTTGTTGTTGTTTTGTATGGGTTTTTTAATAGTATAATGTACTGGTATTTTCAGTATGTTTTTTAAATCCAAGTGTTTTGTAAAAGTTTTGCCCCTATAGTGAGGGGGAAACTGGTGCTGTGTTGTTTAGGGTTTGTTAACTTACACCAGTGTACCCTTCCCATTTTGATAAAATTGAGGCTTTTAATTAAAACTATAAATGTTGATATAGGTTTTTTGGTTCTAAAAGATGTGTCCCCATAGAAATTTCACCGACCTTTTAGTTAAATTGACATAACTGCTAAAACTTTTCACTGCTACAGAAAGGAGTATCCTGACTGAATGGGAGTTAAAAAAGCCTTTTTTTTTATGTTTGGAAAGAGCAGCCTCTGTTTAAAGGGTTCTTCTTCAAAGTTATTAAAAGCCTTCAGTGATGGAGCTTTTTTCCTTCTGCCTTTTGCTCTCTCTTTTTACTTTGTTATTTCTCTCACTTCAGTCTGTAAGCAGTGCCTGATTGGTTTTATTAACTTCTTAAACTTTTAGCTGTTTTCGATCTAATTGGGACTGAAGACTTAAACTGAGAGCTCAGTGATGTGCAGGTGTGAGAGAAACTTTGTGGAGCATGCATGGGAAGGGTGAAGGAGGGAATCCTGGCTCTTGGATGAGTTCAGATATCTCACTGGTATTTTCTCCTGTACACCTTTCTAGATGCATTTCCATACTCGATGTATCATGTGCAGGAGATGGGTAATGAAGATGCACAGCCTAACTTGGTTACTTTGAGGAACATTCACTTCTTTTTTTCCCCTTCCTGTATCTCTCTCTCTCTCTTTTTTTTTTAAAGGTAATTTTACTTTGAAATAGACCAAAGTTTGGAAATAAATCCTGACAAAGCATCCTGTGCATGTGACATTTTGCTGTCAATCCTTCTGGTAATTGCAAGGCTTGGGCAGGCCATGTGCCTCCTAGGAGAGGACTTCTGAACCAGATGTTTACCGTGCCCTGGCTGTGATGTCCCTGAGGGGCTGTGGAGCATCCCAAGGAAGCAGTAGCTTATGGTGATGTGAGAGGAACACATGGGCATCTGTGTGCTCTCTGGGTACCCTTGTCCCTGCAGAACCTTCAGAGCTTGCGTAGATGGACCTCTGAAGCCACATAGGTGGCTGGCTTTTCCCACTGCTGTCCTGCACAGTCCTGTTCCCTCTCTGGGCATGGGGCTGGAGATCTGGTAGTACTGAAGTGCCTCTGTCTGGTTGCCTGCATCAACCTGGGCTGTAATTGCTTCAACTCACACTGAAGTTTGTTTCTGCCTTTCCGTGTGTGTGTTGAACCTTTTCAGTTTAGGGCAAATTTGGTCAGGGGAGAGCTTGACCCAAAGCCTGTAGGAGTGGAGACGTGCTGTCTCTCATAAGGTATGTAGGCATCACCAGGAGACTTGGGGAATCTGAGGTCATTTTTTATTTAGAAGCATGGAAGAACATAAATATAGGCTGGCTTTTATTTACTTGACAGTTTTCATGCAGAATTTATACCTGCTGAAATGTCACGGTGGGAGTTTGTTACACCCTCCCAGGTGTATCACTGTGCTGAGAGCAGCCCTGCTGAGCTCTGCAGCCACAGCAGTGCTCAGGACTCCAGCTTCACACAGGTAAACCAGGCAATAACCAGCCTTTAAAGCACTCTTCTACCGTTTTCTCTGGGCTTTGTAGGGCCACTCAGAGGTGCAATAGGAGCCTTGTTATGCTTTAAATTAGGTTGTGCTGGTGGGGATCCACGTATGTTGCCCCTTTGCAACAGCTGTAATGGGGAAAACTGATATGGCTGGGAAAGGGAACAGGATGTAAAGTGAACACATCAGGAAGGCATTGGAGAACAGCGTTTAAAATATTAAGTACCAAGTTGACTGACATACTGCAAGCATTATAGATATTACATACTTTTATTTCTTTAAATTCTTGTGGATATAGCTGCAAGGTGGCACACCCACATTATTGTAAGACATGTATTTATCAAAAGAAAAAAATCGAACCTTTTGTTACTGTGTGTATTGAAGTGTAAGTTTATTCTGTTCTCACCAAGAAACACATGTTTTAGACAAAGAATTGTTATATTTTTGAAGATGTATATTAATATAACTTAGAATAATATAAAACTTGTTTCTTTTAGAAACAATTTTTGCTTATTATTCTCTTCTGTCTCTCATCCCCTTTCTTTTATCCTGACCCTTTTTTAAATGATGTGTTACACAAGCGAAAACTTCACTTGCACTGAGTCTTTGGTCACTGTTCTAACAGCAATGATTTGAATTACTGTTTTGTACTAGGGAGCTACTGCATTTCAAGCATCTACAGAATCTGAACAGGTTTGAAAATTTATATAATAATTAATGTGTTCTGTTGTTCTTTTTTTGGATTTTATTTCAGGGCATCTAGATGATGATGGGCTGCCACATGGATTTTGTACAGTAACCTACTCATCAACAGACAGATTTGAAGGAAACTTTGTGCATGGAGAAAAGAATGGCCGTGGCAAATTCTTCTTTTTTGATGGAAGGTAGACTCTACCTCTTCAGCTTTTCTTCTATATTCTTCCTTCTGCTTGCAATGATACAAACTAATTTACATTCATTGTATGCTGCTGACTTTCTAGATAAGGTTTCTCATTAAAAACTATAGCTGGAAAGTTTGTTGCTGCTGTAGCCGTTCCTCTGTAGGCTTGGGGGCCTTGTGTCTAATATGGTGCTTGTAGTTGTTTCCTAGTGGGAGAATACAGTGGTGTGAACTCTTTTAGTACTGTAAATTATGAACTAATTAGAAACCCTAAGAACTGGGAGGTGGTCAGAACTATTAGAAACCGTGCTGACAATGGCTTGGACATCAAAGTTCAAATCCATAACTGCAGGTGGAATTCTTTGTCTTATAGTGCTGTACAGAGAGAGCAGGTGGACTGGGAGCTCCCTATGCCAGCCTTCATGCACAGATGTAGGACCTTGACAGAGAGGCTTATCCTCTGTTTGGTCTTGGAAATTGTTTAGTGGTTCGAGGACTGAGTTAAAGACAGGTTTGTTATCAACTCTAGTTAATCCTCTGCTAGTTGCTTGTGGCCTGATTTCACTGTCAAATTCCCAGCGAAAAGAAGGGAAGTTATAGGGGCTTTTCAGAAAGTAAATCAGGCCAGTCTGTGCCGATGCATGTGTTTTCTTCCCAGATTTTCTTTACAAACACCTTGTAAGTCTTCCCCCCCACTGCAGCATTCCTCTCTGCAGTTGCCCAGAACTTCCTCCAAAGGAGCAGCAGATGTATAAAATGACACGATTCTTCATGGTTTTGCAGCTGTCGGTGGCACTATGAATAGCAGCTGTTAAACTGACAGTCGTGCTGGGTCTACTCTCCGCCTGCTCAGCAAAGTTCTGAGCAGGAGTGGAGGTATTGTGCTGTCTCAGTGAGTCAGCTCCTTGTCTGTATTGGCCTTTGCAGTTGTTTCATACTGGAGATTGTGGGGGTTTTTTTCATGAGAAAGATAATATATTCATTCAGTTACACAGAAACCGGTCGGGCCTCCAAGCCTGGATGAAGAAAAATCCCCACTGTTGTTGGTCATGGGCTTATTAAATCTGCTCTGAGTAACTGAAAACCAGGACTACCCAGCAGCTGACTTTTCCAAAATAGCTTTTTTTTTTTTTTTTTAAATTGGCAGACAGTGTCTCTATGGACACATGTGCATAATGCTTCTGTGCTTGTGGATGATCTCAGCAGAGCAGTTGCTGATTGTACAGTCAGAGGAACTGACCTGCTATTTTGTTTGTAGGGCTGCTCCTCCATATAATCCAGGGTACAGGCAGTGCTCTGTGGGAAAAGTCAGGTTGCTGCTGAACCTTTTCTCTACTGCTTCAGTGTTGCCAGCTCTTCTCTCTCTTTTTTTTTTTGGTTGTATAATTTTCATAACCCTTAAAAAATGGAACAGTTGGCTACTGATGACTTCAGGAAGTAGCAGAATGAAAATATGCAAAAATAGTCTGTAATGTGTTTTTGGAAGATGGGGTATTTTTGTAAGACATTACATATTTTAATTTAGCTAAAGCAGCCTTAACTGAGCAGTGCCTAATTACTGAAGATGTCATTTACCTAGCTATGCCCAGCTAGCAAGATTGAGTTGCTCTCTGAAATGGATGGTTCAGGAATCGTGATGTGTTGCAGGAAGAATGACCTGGCATAAAGCAGGACATGCTGTTTCCATTAACTGTGCCACGGGCCAGGCTGAGTGCTCATGAAGAAGAGAAATTAATCTCCAGATTTTCACCAAACACCTCTCCCTTTGCAGTAAGTTAGCTGGTTTCAGCACTCCTGGGTCTGTTTCCCTGGCAGGCTGCTGGTAAAGGCTGACAGCTGCAGTTGGGGAGTAGCTGAGTCCTGTCAGATATTGGACAGGCTGCAGTGTAAGCACTCTCATTTTTTGAGTGTTGGGGAATAGGACTGGCTGCCTGGCTGCCTTGTTTGGTCAACGAAAACTTTCCCCTTTACTGGAATAGCTGCCCCCTTCCTGTTGATTATTTAAAGGAATGAAAACCTGGAATGAAATATCAGCCAGGTTTTTTCTCCCCCTTCAAAAAATGCAACAAACCCCAACATATTCTTTCAGAGAGAGAAGTTTCACCTCTGGCATACTCCCTGTTCTGCATTGTGTACTTGAGCTTTCCTTGGTGCCAGCACTTCTGGAGTGTACTTTGCAGAGCACTTGGCACAATAAGGGCGAGCCTGAGAGCCATGCTTGGCACAGAGCTGCAGCTGCCCTTCTCCCTTAACTGGAAACTCCTGTAAACTACCTCCCAGAACACAGTACAAAACTATTCTTTTTGGGAAAAAGTTTCTGATGTTCCCATATGGAGGGAGTGAGAGATGAATAGATCAGTTTATATGGATGTTAACGTAATACCTGGAGCAGGGAAGGGCATTGCAGTATTTCCTCCCCTCCTCACCCCCAGCTCTTACCACGGGTTTACTTTTTAGGTAATGAGTATCTTTAGTCCCTTCTAGGCATAATGGATAACGGGAAGACAGCACACCTGGCAGATCTTGACTTTAGTAAAACTTTATGTTATCAGAAATATGATCATATGAGAAGCAAACCAGAGAAATATAGGCTAGCTCAGAGTTTGTTTTAACAGGATATTTTTTTATGGAAGACACAGAAACTATTTATTCCTCTTTGTGCTGGTCAGGTTTTAGCTGCAATTATCATGTCTGGCCGCAGACACCACACTTTGAGAGCTTAAGACAGAATGTGGAGCAGGGTGGAAATAACTCAGAAACTGTGAAAAGTATAAATATTTTAGAGAACCTGAGTTTGAAGGACATGGACTTTTTTCTTCAGGTATCTTTCTTTTGATTTCCTTAGATGAGGTGGATCTTTTGGACACTATTTGCAGCTTAATACAAAGAGAGAACATAGAAATTTGAGTTACAGTGAAAGATATTTCTCCAATACTGAAGCACTGTTGTAATTTAGCAACTTGTTAACTTCAACTAATATAACTAAGGGTTACAAGAAGGAGGTTTTTTGTGTTTTTCATTACTTAAACTAGGGGTGGCTACTTCTTTTAAAGGGTATTTCTGCATGTGGACTCTGTGTGTGTTGTCAGCTACAATGAAATTCAAATCTAGTAATCTGTGATAAACTAAAGGGGAAAGTGGCATCATTTATAGTCAAGTAAGAGCACTGATTCCCGGTGTTTCCCTCATCTACCCTGCTCCTTCCCTGTGCTGTGGTGCAGCTCTGGAGCAACGTGGATCAAAAAATTCATCTAACTGAAAAATAAAATAGTTTTCCTGCCCCTTCCTGTTTTGCATCTGGTTTGCATTGAGGCTTTTACTGTAATATATTTTCCCATGGAAACCTCAACCAGCTTACCAAAGTTATGTAAAAACGGAGCATGAGGCTTTAGAAACAAGAAAGTGAATTCTGGGAAAAAACCATCCCTTCCACAACCCTTGAAAATCTGTTTTGTAAAATCATGTAAAACATGTAGAGTCGTGTGCTCACAGACACGTGTTTGGGCTTATACCTTAGATGCCTTCATCTGAAAAAAAACTAAGCAGTGAAAGTATGTGTACTGCAGCTGACTGTTAGCTGAGTGTGCTGGAGGAAAAGCTGAACATTTTGTATTCCCTTATCCTAGTTCTAACACGAGAAAGAAGTAACTGAGTAGACCCCCTTTTATGGTTATGCCTTTATTCTTTGTGATGCAGACTGCGAGGTGTTACTGTGCCCTGTCTAAAGGGTTTGCAAGACAAAACCAAATTGTGAAACGTATCTTTGTTCAAATCCAAGTGCAGCACTAGTTCTGTTTGACAGGCTGTGTTCCATTTTAATAGAAATACATGAAAAATGACAGTGCTTTTAGCAAACTCCTGTACAAATGGCTGCTAAGTGTATTGCTGGGGAGCTGATACCGAACTGTAGCGGGTTGCAGTTCGTGCTCTGTCGTGGTTCATCTGTCTGGCAGCTCAGTTTCACCTTGCCAGAGAGACCTCAGTAAAGATCCACACATGGCAAGTAGAAGGTCCTGATGTGAGAGTAGCCTGCTTGAGCAATAATTTCTCCTTTGACCAGGAGTGTCCATACACTGCTGTAAGTTGCTATTCCAGCCTACAGAAGAATGCTGAGCCCTGTGATTTAGATGAGTGATGCTGTGCCCCTGCACTGTGATGAAAGGACACTGTAGGTTGTTTTCTGCCTTTGGAGCTCCACAGAAACAAGTTTCTGGTTTTCCTCTTGGCTTTCCAGTGTGTTGAGGCTTTGGGTTCACCTCAAAGAGAGGTGAATAGTTTTCCACTGCTGTTTTCTTTCTCTCTTTACCAGCACCCTGGAAGGGTACTACGTTGATGACGCCCTGCAAGGCCAGGGAATCTACACTTATGAGGATGGAGTGGTCCTTCATGGCACATATGTGGATGGAGAGCTGAATGGACCAGCCCAGGAGTATGATAGCGACGGGCGGCTGATATTCAAAGGGCAGTATAAGGACAACATCCGACATGGAGTCTGTTGGATTTATTACCCGGTAAGCCTGGCCACCTGCTCTCTTTATTGCACAATATGTACCTTTCTTTTCTCCCCAGCTGAAACAAATACCCACCATGACTCAGTTATCCAAAAGTCAACACACAGAAATCTGGGTAAAAGATCTGTGCATTCTGATTTTTGGAAAACCCAACGTACAGTTAAAGTTTTTCAGTGTTGAATGCTTGCCCAGTAGGCGAGATTCAGCAAGGCTGCAAGATACCTCCACTGTCTTCATCTTCCAGGGAACCCAACCCCTTGGAAGTGCATTTATATATAATTTGTATGTAATGTAAAAATAATAAGTATAACAATTTATGCATTATCTCTTTGAGAAGGCTGGACCAATAGTTTCACCACCTTGTAGTGGTGGCTGCAGGTGAGGAGCAGGGAAACCATGCAAATTATTGCAACCTGCTGCTCTTATTTAATTAGACCTTGTCTCCATTTCTGCAGGGTATGCTGTGACATCTGGCTTTGCCCAGCAAATCAAATATGAGGGGTGTGAGAACTGTGCCTCTTGAGTAGAGTGTGGACAAGTGCTTTGTTAATTAAGCAAGCCAAAATTTTATCTTTCTGAATTTTCATAAAAAACTTTCGCAAAAATTTTTGTTGTTCTTATATAGCCATCCTAGTTAAGGCAATAATGGTTGTACTAGTTTTTAGGGTTTTTTTTAATTTTAGTTCCTATTCAGCCTTACACAGCACTCCAGACTTGAACCTTTCAGTCTTTACCTTGTGCCGAGAAGGGGGAAACAACTGCATGTAATTAAGCTGCTGGTCAAAACCTAGTCTATTTCTGTGCCACACATGGCACAAACTTTAGTTGCAGATTCATTTCTAAATGCTTACCACTGGCTGTTCATTTTATTTACTGGTTTTCACTGTTGCCGTTAAGCATGTGCTAGGATCAACAAATGCTTGGTGAACACTGCCAAAAGATTTTCAGTCCTAGTATATAAAATACAAACAGCTGACCCTTCAGTTCGTGTATCTCCTGCTTCATCTTCCAGCTGTCAAAGTGTTGCTGTACTTTCTGGAAATGTGGGTAATTAGAGGTTGTTTATCATTATCATCTTGCCAGACTTAAGGATGCAAAGTGTTCCAAAAAAAACGCCTGTGCCATGGAAGAAATTCTTTCTTCATGGTTCTGTGCATGATGCTATGTGCACAAATTTTTCCAAGACTTCAGGTTCTCTGTTCCCCACTACAGCTTGCTTGAAACTCTTTTCATCCTTGCAGTTGAACAAAATGGTGTCACTTTGAAATAGAGTCTGTGCGCAGTGGTCTTGATCTAAATCAGTCTGTTGCCACATCACACCTGCTGGTTTTGCTCCAGGGTGTATTTGGAGAGGCTTCTCTGTCCCTTTTGAAATAAACACCTGAAGTGGTTAGACCTGTGCTAATCCATGCATCTCATTCTGCAGTTCTGTAAATAGACATAGCCCGAGTTGCAGGCAAATCACAGATGGCAAAGCCCAGGGCTAAAATGTGTAAACCTGAGAGAGGAAAAGTGTTGCTGCTGATGGCTTTCAGCAAACAGTTGTTCTCATTGAGCACCACTTGACATTGTGGGGGGGATACTGGGACAGAGACACTGTCCAGTCATCCAACAAAACTTTTTTTTTCCTTAATAGGCTCAGGTCTTTTAAGGCACCATGAATTAGCAGTGAGCAAGGCAGCGTTTAATTTTTTTATTTCCTCCAGCACAGTATCCTGCTAACCAAACTTGGACATCCGTGTGGCTTTGGGCCTTGGTTTGCAGACTCTTCACATAAAAATTTTGCCAGTTGGAACTCTGTATTTGTGTCACATGGAAGGAAAGACCTTGGGTTTTCCCTATTCCAAACAACAGAGAAAACCCTGTTCACTTCTTTTATCAGTTTTATACTAAGTGAAATGACTTTATCTGGCTTCTTCTTGGGTCTGCTTTCTCTCTCATTTGCACAATTTCATATCTGAATTAGATTGTTTTTTTAAAAAGTTGGGGAAAATCCTTTTCATTTAATGAAGACAGTATAGTGTAACTGAATGCCTTACCTTTTCTTTCTTGCCTGTGCTTTCAGGATGGAGGCAGCCTTGTGGGAGAAGTGAATGAAGAAGGGGAGATGACTGGAGAAAAAATAGCCTATGTGTATCCAGATGGAAAGACTGCATATTCTGGAAGGTTCATAGATGGAGAAATGATAGAAGCAAAACTGGCAACTCTGACAACTGTCGAGGATGGGAAACCTCAATTTGAAGTTGTACCAGGCAGTAAGTTCAGCTAACACAGAAACTTGTATTCTGCCAACTCTTTGCTACAGACAGCTTGGTTCCTATAATGCTCCCCCCTAGAGATTCTGGCTGTGATGAGCCAGTAAGTCTGTTAGTGAGAGTCCCCTTCTCTAAGTTATAAAGTTGGGTGGAGAGGCAGGTGGAGGGATTCCTTTGCCCTTGGTACAGGCAGGAAGTGCCCCCTGCCTGGTCCTGCCAAACTGTGTTTCATAGCCTTTCTCTCAGTCATGTGCTCGTGGGCACAGTCCTGTTTGTCACACACACCATCGTCCTCTGTGCCAGCAGGAAAACCTGCTTCACCACGTTACTGCTGGCACAGTTACAGGCTTTTTGTTAGTAAAATAACTACAAATGGAGAGGGAGGCCATGGTTTGGTTGTAGCCCTGACAGCTGGCTCTGTGCAAGTCAGTGTTAGCACTGTGAATGTTCTGGCACCTGTGTCACTGGGCTGGAAGGACACAGGGATTGCAATTAGTGAACCAGATTCAGTCATTGTGTAACAGTCTGAGTCACCAGCACTTCAGTCTGTCTAGTCCTGCTCATAGAGAGTGGCTGTGAAGTGCATGGGGGCAGGGTGGTGTCTGTGACCTGTGTAGCCAGTGCTCCTTCTCTAGGGCAGTGGTGGCTTGGACCTACAGTTCTGGAGTGGTTTTGTTGCTCTGAGGTGTGTGTGATGTTTCAGAGGTGTGTGAGTTAAGCTGCAGACAGGACCATCAGTAACAAGCAGGGACCATGATAATGCATTTAATTATTTTGCCAGCAGAGGTTGTCTCACTTGATATGAAACAGGCACATAAAACTCATTGACAAGCAAATGCACGTGAGTTTATTTTTTAAATCTCTCAGTTATGATAGCGAGTCAAAATTTAACTTAAAACTTACCTTCTAAGAGAGTGCAGTTGTGCTTTGTAAATAGGATTAAATTATACTCTGGAGGAAGCTGCCTTAAGCCATAACACATCCTGGACACCAGGGGCAATGGCCTTTCATCAAACTTTGTAATACTCTGTTTTGCGGGGTTTTTCTCCCTATCTTATTTCTGCTTTCATCTTGACCAATCTCCCAGATAGTTCCCTGGCAGTGGAGAGAGGGATGTGAGAATCTAATTGGAGGTGTACCACTGAATTGCTTATTATTGGCAAGAAACAAATGACTGTAGCATGTGTGTTCTCTGACTACTGAACATTATCTTCTGTCTGAAGTATCTTCAGGATTTGGACTAGAAAATACTTTGTATTTTAAGTAGTCCAAGATTTTTTATAATTAATGTATTATTGAATGTATCCTTCTAAATTTTGCTTTGCTTTTAAATGATATTTTGAGACTCTGGGAGTGTTAGTTTTGAAAGACTGTCCAGTCCTCCATTACAGGTTGATAGTTTGAAGAAAATACATATTACCTTTTTGTGTTAATACTGCCACTCTAGTATGTTGAGGGGAAGAATCTTGCTGAAGGCTTTTTACAGGTACAGTTCTGTTTAGTACCTTTTTTTGGAAGCATAACATTTTTGTCAGACGTTAAAATTTAATTTTTGAATGTCTTGATTCAGTTAAGGGTTGCATGCTTTCAGTGCTGCCAATTAGTTTATTTCCTTTGTCGGCGTCTGGTTTTTTTTAGGCCCAGTATACAGTTTTGACAAATCTACTTCATCCTGCATTTCTACAAATGCCCTTCTTCCTGATCCGTACGAATCAGAAAGGTAGGCTTTTTTCCTTCTCCCAATGTTTCTTTGCTGTTATATATTTAGAGCCTAATTTTGCAAACCTTTCTCATCTAAAATTTTTAAAAAGGTTTGTAAGGGTTTTGTGAAATGGAAGCTGTTACTGTACATCAGTCAGTGTTTGACTTGATTGACTTTCTTTCCAATTCACACAATAAAATTGCACTCTGGTGGATGAAACACAATGATACATTTTAAGAGATTAAACTAGGGTAATTTCTTAGCATTTCAAAGGCATGTTCAGTCAAGCCCTGGACTCCACTATAGCCCACATATACAAAATGTTCCGACAAAAAATATGCTGTTCCCTGTTTTCTAGATGTGTAACTGGCTTACAGGGTGCTGCATTCAGGGTCTCTTGCTGGGTGGCACGTGTTGTACAAAATTTTCTCCCCTCCCTACAGATGTGGGAAAGCAGCAAGAGTAAATCATCAGCCTGGAGGAAAGTGAGATACTGTTTGTGACAACCCTGTAATGTCAAAAAACATTGCTCAGGAATTGCCTCATGATAAATATTCAGGAATATCTCTTCTGTGGCTATTCCACAATTACACTTTTACCTAGACCTTTAGGAGACCTTGCTCTGTATATACCTCAACTGTAGTCCTTTCCTGATACTCTGAAGTGTCTAAATAAGTGATTAGTAAAATGCTGGCATTGATTTGCATTGAGTCTTTGAATATGTAGCACTTTACCTTCAGAACTCTTGCTCATCTGTGCATGTACGTTCCAGCAACCTCAGCTTGGTGGGGACCTCTGGGATTTGTGGTGTGTTATTGAGGGCGTTCCTGAGTTGAAGCCATCATTGAGGAGTAATAGTAGATTGGCACTTGCAAAAAGTAATTTTCAAAGTCACACCCACTTCCCACCAAATTTCAGTTTTGCCAAAATAGAGAGTGTGTAGAAGAGAGGAAGGGAAGGAGTTCCATTTAGAGATTCCGAATTGTTGTTATTATTAGCTTTATTGTTATACTGAAGTATTAGTCTTTATCCCAGTAGTGTTGTGATAATACTTCTTGAAAATTAAAACTGTAGCCAGTCACTAATTCCATGCCCTCTTCCTCCTGTAGGGTGTATGTGGATGTCTCTCTCATTTCCAGTGCTGGAGAAGGATTGTTTTCAAAAGTAGCAGCAGAAGCCAGTACAGTGATGTCCTTTTACAACGGAGTGCGAATTACACACCAGGAGGTAAAGAAGAGAAAAAAGTCAGTCTGAATTCTCATTGCTACTTCTGAAGTTTTCTTCTCACAGGATTTTATACTCATCACCTTCCCACCTTTAAAATTTAATGTGATAGAGTTTAATTGAAAGAAAGTGCATGTTGACTTATGTATGGCTAAAAAAAAGGTGGTGGGTTTTTTTTAAATGACACACAGATGAAAAGCCTTAGTTGCATATATTTTGAATGTTGGCTTTCAAACTGCTGACAAAGTTGACCCACAGACAACTTTGGATTTTTGCCTTGCAAACTAGGTAGACAGCAGAGACTGGGCCCTCAATGGAAATACAATATCCCTGGATGATGAAACAGTCATAGACGTGCCAGAGCCCTACAACCACGCTGCCAAGTACTGTGCCTCACTGGGGCATAAGGCCAACCATTCTTTCACTCCTAACTGCATCTACGACCCGTGAGTAGAGTGCTGTGTTTTGGGGTAGAAGCTGCAGCCCAGCTCTCTGGGCTCACAGATTGTCTCTGGCAGCTGGATGAGGAGCAGTGGTGGGCTGGGAGCAATGAGTTCGGGCACTGAAGGAGTTTCTGCTCACCTAGGCTGAGTTGGAAATGGGCTGGCATTGCAGGTGCTTGATGTCTCTTGGGACTTACACCGTGGAGTATCTTGAAGTTTGCAGCTGCGTTAATTTTGTCAGGAAATTTATGAAATTCTTCTTGATTCTAAAATGCTTAATCACAGCTCTCTAAATCCTAGCTTGGCTAGGACTGCGCTGTCCTTTGCTGACTTACTGATGCTTGACCAGCACCATCAAATGTGCTGTTGTTTTTGAAACTCAGAAAAAATAAGCATCTTGCTGCTCTGCACCAGGAAGCTTTTCATGTTAGCTCAGTTGGTTAGAGCGTGGTGCTAATAACACCAAAGGCTGTGGGTTTGATCCCCATATGGGCCATTCACTTTAGAGTTGGACTCAATGATCCTTGTGGGTCCCTTCCAACTCAGAATATTCTGTGAATCTGTGAATCTGTATGCTCATAGCAAGGTATAAACAAACACACCTGTGGATACATCTATGTAGAAAAATAGTTTTCCTGCATTAAACAAGCCAGGTTCCTTTATTGTGGGACCCTGGGAGAAGATGTACAGAAGTATGTTACCATTGTTAGGTGGTTAACCTGTACTAAGATGAGCCATTTAGCATGCTCTCCAGTCTCTCATAATCTGTACTGATTTCCTGTCATGCAGATGTTTACCTCTGCAAACCCAAGGCATGTGGCAGTGACTAACTGTTTTATTTTTTATTACAAGCAAGCAGTTTTGCAGGACTGTTGAAAAACTTCAGATAATAGAGCTACACAAAACTCCTTTGATATATCAATATTTTTGCTCTTGTTCTGAAATCTTTATGAGGTTGACTCAACGCAGTCTGCTCATCTGATATCAGACTATGCAATGCTACTCTGAACTGTGAGGGACTTCTGAAACTGTGAATCTGTAAATTGACAACTGAGCCTAGCAAAGATGCTTCTTTCCCCCAGGTTTGTTCATCCTCGTTTTGGGCCCATCAAGTGTATCCGTACCATCAGGGCTGTGGAGAAGGATGAAGAACTGACAGTGGCTTACGGATACGATCACAACCCCGTTGGGCAGAACGGGCCAGAAGCACCAGAGTGGTACCAGCTGGAACTGAAAGCTTTCCAGGCTGCCCAGCAAAAGTGAAACGGGAGCGCCTTCTCCGTTCAGCAAACTGAAACAGAAACTTGGATCTATGCACTACCTTTATACTGAAAACTGGACAACCAGGGATTGTTCATACTGTTGCATCATAAATTTGCATTCTGTGTTAAGAGATAAGTTTCTTGCATACTAACTAGGTTTGACTGTGTTACTCATAGAAGATTTAAAATTAGCTAGCGTTGCACCAGTCTTATCTGGAGAAATTATTTAATATTCTATACGAGATGTGGTATTCTTTGGTAGCTTCTGCTTTTGCACCATATGCAAAGATGCCAAAAGACTAGACAGAAACTAAAATGGGTATATTGTTCACTTTTAGTCGGCAGACTTAGTGTTGCTCTCTATCTGCCTAGGCATTATTGTGCAACTGCATTTTGCATATATGCCACTTGTGATGATAACAGTAATATTTTGATATTCTCTAATAGTAGCATAATTTTGCCTTTTTAAACCTTTGATCTGAATCTTGCAATAGAGCAGTTTATTTATTAGCATATAGGAGGCTGGGTTTTAACTCCCCTTTCCTCTTGTCTGAACGTTGTTCTTTCTACAAATCCTCTTTTGCAGGAGAAAATCCTTTCTAACTAGTGGAAAGGCTTGTGTGTGTATGTGAGAGTGCTGTGTGTTGGTCTTTGTGGCTCTCTAAATAGTATAGCAACATGTCCAAACATAATATTTATCTAGCCTTTACGGCTGGCTTATTTTATTTAATTTATTATTATGACATGCAAATGAAACTGTTCTTTGCATGAAGATTTTCTGAAAGGAGAGAACAGATTCGCTCGTCGAAGGACTTTCAGAAGTTCATGTTCTGGAAGGCAAGGCATTGCTTGCATTTGTGTCTGTGAGTTGGGTTGTGTATTTCACCTGTTAAAGCAGCCATTTCTCAAGGCAAAAGTTCTGGCAATGAGGTGCTTGCATCTCCCATAAATTCTGAGAAAGGAGGTGTATGTATTTGGGGGCAGGCTGTAGTACTTGGTAAAGGAGAGCTGTATCTTTAGTGTGTGTTCAGTTGACAAAGAATATAGCCTTGTAGCCATCTTTTAGTAGTACTGGCTTAAGACACAGTGAAAAATTAATATAGTATGAGGTATCAAAATAAGATTTTTTTTTTTTTAAAAAGAAAAGATATGAAAAGATTGTTTTTGAAAGACAATGAATGTAAAAACATCACTCACTGCTCATATTTAGAAACAGCAGTCAATCCATAGCTTTGTTGTAGCCAACAGTGGGGGGTTGTGAATATTCATCTGTAGGGCTGTGTTCTGGGGTTTTTCAGGGGTAGGGAAATTGTTGTGCATTTTTCAGATACTGTGCTGGTCTTGCCTAATGCTGTATAAGAGAGAAATAATGTATCATCTCGATCTGGATACTGGAGCCTTTCTGGGACTCTTGATGCTCTCTTTTGGGCTTAGCAGCTTAGGGAAAAACTCAAATGCATTTGCAACACTTTCTTTAAATGTTTGTAGTTTAAAGAAGTTTGTATATATGTAAGATAAATTATTTGGGAATCAGACCTACCTTTCTATTGCAACACATTTTGGTTGCTTGCTTGAACGGTCAGAGGTGTCTGGCTGTCTGGGGAGCTGGGCAGGGAGGATGTGTTGGGGACCTGCAAGTGGAAGGATGAGGTTGCTGGTTTGTGCAGTCTTGAGAATCCTTGCTTTGGTACCTGAGCAAAGTTAGGAATTACTCATAAGAACCTCTCTAACCTGGGGCTCTGTTTATTCCCTGTGACTGATCACAAACCTTTCCCAGCACCTCACCATTTAAGCTTGCACAGAAGCTACTCTGTGCTTGTGCTGGGGCAGGGGACAGGTAGGCTCAGGGCAATTTGAGGCTTTCAGTGGTGCTCTGAATGTGAGCTGTGGCACCTCCCATCTCCTCGTGCTAGAGACTCAGCTCTGCACCCCATCCAAGGCAGGTGGCTGGCAGGGACTGAGCTGAGTGTGCAGAGACAGAACTGCACCTCACAGGTGAGGGAGAGTTCTCAAAAGTCAGTCAGGAGCACGGTCTCAGCAAATAATCCTCAAAAAGAAATATGCATGACTTGATCTTTCCCTGCCTGCTCACAGGTTGTTACTTAAATCATCAGCCAACTGCAGAGGAGCATTCCACACTGGTAGGGAGCTGTCATGTGCATCTAGTGGATTATTCTGCCAGGACCATGAAGTTTGCAAAATTGAGGCTGAGTTTTAGTGCAGGGAAGGGGGAGAGGGAAGATATGTGACTGAACCCTGCTGGGAATGGATGGTAACTCCTTCCACAGTCTTGATAACCTGCTTTGGACTGCTGGCCTCTCTGTGCTCGCTGGAGAATTGTGCTTAATATGTTCTGATCTCTAGAGCTCCTTTAGCTTCATTCCTGATCAGTCTCTGATTCCTCTGCTATCTCCTCTTTGTGTGGAGTTGCTTATGTTTTGATAGATTTGTCGGTCTTCATATTGCCTGATTTTTGAGATAAATAGAAAATAGGTGCTCTTTACGTGTCAGGCTTGAAGATTGTATCCTAAAATAGGGAAATTCAAGGAAAAAAAAAAAAAGTATCCTGTGTGTTCTCCAAAAATTTGGTGACAGTCAGGCAGATCCTTTTGCACACTGGTGTAGCCTGGTAGCATGCCACAGCTGTGGCTCTTGTCTCTGTTAGCTCTGCTGTCCTTCTCTCTGCTCTGTAAAATCTGTTGGTCTTTCTATAGCTCCCTTCTTCGGTGACCAACCTTCTATAAAAGTTGTGATTATGAAGCTGCTTTGGCTTGATTCAGGACCAAGCCTTTTAATTCTTCCTTGTTTTCTTTCTCTTTCTGGTCTGTTAGAGTGGAGCTGGCTGGGATGGTTTTTACCACTGGGTAGCAAAAGGGCTCAGTGTGTCCTTCAGAGGTGTGCATTGGCAGCCACTGGTTCAAACACAGGTTAGTTACAGAACTCCAAATAATGCCTTAACTTGGTCAGTGTATTGCAGCTCAGCTTCTGGGGCTCACTAGATAGCAAGACCAGCTTTGCAAAACTATTTATCAAGTAGTATGATGACATATCTGTAGACACGAGACCCACACCAAACCACGGTTTTAATTTGGGGCAGAGGAAGAAGTCATTTTGCAAAAAAATCCGTTTGGGTCTGTGGGATGCAGCTGACTGTTGGTGAATATGCAATAAATAAAGAAGCTCCACTTCTCAAGAGTCTGGCCAGGGACCTGTCCTGTCGGCACAGAAACTGGAAGGAGAGCTGATGCCTGTCAGCTGAGCCTGGGTGAGCAGCTGGCTCTCAGAATACTCGTTGTGATTAGGATAGGAGAACTTGGAATTGCTCTTTCCAGGGAGGGATCAGTTCCCAATGTCTGCCTTTAGTCTGCAGTGCTGCACGTGGCTACTCTGTGATGGGAGGGTTGTTACCTGAGTTCCTTATGAGAAGGAGCCTGTATCAACCTGTATTAGGGGCTGCTGATGGTCTCTTAAAAAAAAAATAAATCTGAAGTGGATCTTCCTGCCGTGGCAGCACAGTGTTTTGTCACCAAGAATACAGAAGCCCAGTTTTCTGGAGAAGTGATTAATCTTGGAGACAAGAGAGCATGAGAAGTTAGAGCTGAGAGCTACCTGCTGCTGGGTCACTCCTCTGGATAAGAAGGAAAAGGGCTTAAGCCGTGGAGGGGGTGTCTCAAGTTGAGTTTCAAGCTATAATTTTACTTTTGGGGATCTATTAAAATACCTGGTTTTCCTTCACAAATCTAAAAAGGCTTTTTTTCCTGTTTTGGTTTTACTTTTTGTAGTAATTATAAAAACCTACCCTTCATAAAGACCTGCAAGTCTTAACTGTTGAAAAAGTCAAAGGAAATATGTGGATGATGCTCTTCAGCAGTTGGAGTGAGAGCTGTGAGAGCTTTTTGACTTTTTCCACAGTTGCAACGGTACCCACTAGGATGGCCCATGCTTTTAATCACTCCTGGGCAACTCCCCGTGCAGGTTTTGGGACCTTTTTGGAGGTCAGCTGCTCGGCCGTGCGGGGCTGCATGCTTTGGGAGTGACTGGGCAGCCTTCTCCTCAGCGCAGTCCTTCCAGATGCAGAGCTTGCAGCGTTGCACACAGTTGGCAGTGGCTGGGGTTTCTTTCCCAGGGTTGTAACCCGTTGCTGGTGTGTAAGCAAGAGCTCCATCAGGGATTGCGCACCCTCTGCCAGGCACTGGAGGAGCAGAATAGCCAACCGAGAAATGGTGGAAATTACCACTTTTCTGTTTCCTTCCCAGCTGGCTGCCCTTATCCTTCAGTCAAAACCAGTGCTCACTGCTTGGGTTGCACCAGGGACTGTACAGTGTCACTTCTGTCCCAGAGACCTCTGTGATTTTTGTCCTTTCGCTCAATTTGATAGTCTTCTAGGAAAATGCTGCCGTTGCGATGAGGTAACGTGTCGTACAGAGCCGGCTGTCTGCGGCTTTGTTTTCCTGTGGCACAGCAGGGTCGCTGGAGCCGCGGGTGCCTGAGGAATTCACCTCCATGCACTTAAGAAAAACCAAATTGTTCTGAAAACAACGTTACTGAAGTGTCTCCTTACATGCTGGGGTGCTGCATTAGACGCCTCTTCCTCACTTTGCGCTGCGCTGTCGTGTGCTGAGAGCATCGGGGCGAGGAGAGCAGGCGTGGGGGCAGCTTTGCCCGTGGGTGTCGGTGGGGCTCTGCGCTCACCCGTGCCCTGGGGTGAACTTGTTCCTTTTGCTTTGTGTACTGGAAACATGAGAACTCTATTTTTTGGACAATGAATTTCTAAGCAGTCTTATAAGGGATTTTTAAATAAAAAAAAATAAAATAAAATAAAATAAAAAGGTGCAAGAATGAGTGCATGTTTACTTGCCCCAGATCAAAGGTTTTGAACACTAAGGTCACTATCTGTTGAATGGACCCTCCTCGTGGCGCTCTTCTGTCTTCGGGCAATGGAAGCTCCTGCTCTTTTCCTCTTACCAGTTTTACTGTAACTATATTTTTTTCCCCCTAGGAGAAATATATATACAAAAATTGTAAGCAATTAAACGCTCAAGCCATAAAATCACGAGTGCGGGAAGACCCTCTTCACAAGTTTTAACGTTTGTATGTAAAATGATGTTTGTATGAAATATTTTCATGGTAGAATGAATATTTAAACAAAAAAGTTCCAGTGAGATCTAAACCAAATTTAAAAGGATGTCTTTTTGTAAGACACACGTGTAATTGAATACCAGTAAGTAGATAACTATTTTTTTAAGGGGAGATGCAACAAATGATCCTTAGAATTACAAATGGTCGTTTCTGCTATTTGGGAAAGTATTTATGCAGCATTACAAGCAGCTGCCATAAATAATTGCAATAGCAAGGCTAGTCACATCTTCAAGACATACCTCTCAGCTTGTCCCTTCATGATATTGTACAAACGACCCATCCCTCCTTTCTGCAGATTCCCTCCTAGAAAACTTTTCCTACTGTAACTGTAATGAATTTAACTCTGAGCTAAGATCCAGACTAAAATTGTGTATTACTTAACAGTTTCTGCTGGGCCTTCTGCTATTTTAATACTCCTTAGCCCATAATTACTGGGTGTCTCTGTTCTGAAGAACTAAGTGCTAAAGAATAATCTTTGGGGTAAGCTTATACACGTGTTAGCGGTTAACCCCGGAGTATTTAACTTGTATACAGTACTTGATAGGTGTTTTATGACATTTGTACTCGAACTATGAGCCTTACTGAACATCTGTAGGTTTATTCATGACTTTTAAAAATGGATAACTCTAAGAAAGATGTTTACATGAATGATGATTGCCCTTCCTTTGATGTTATGAATGAGGTTTTTATAGTGTGTTTGGGCGTATGTGCAAGGAAGCAAGAAAAGTGTTTCTGGGGAAAAACAGACTTGACAAACATTTGTAATAAGTGAATTTTAAAGATTGCTTTAATTGCGCTATGAAGGCAATGCAGATATTAAAATATTCAACAAAGAAGTGTTGTCTCTCCTTGTTATTTGTGTGTTGCATTTTTGGGCATCCTCTGACCTCTCCCCTGGCTTGTGTGTGCTGTGTGGCCACGGTTGTTGCTGATGGAGGGGAGCAGGATTTCACACAGTTAGCACATGTCTAGGCCGTGTTATATAAATAGTGAATGAAAAGCAGAACACTCCTGACACCACTGCTTTGGCATTTTTTCCTGGCACCTTTGCTGCTTATTCACTTCTCTGTTTTTCAATGCACATAACATGGGCTTCAGTTGTGTTGTGGTTTGGAAGAATATCCTCCTTGTATATGCTGAAGTGTCTTTAACAATTGTATTTTAAGACGTGAATGTGCACTGGTATGTTTTTCTCTGAGGCAGTTGGATGTGCAGCTGTGCCTTCCAGGCAGGTAAGCTACTCCTCTGTCTCCTAATTCCATGTACACGTCCTGCTGGGTGAGTGGTGAGGAAAGGGACAGCGCTTTCAGTGCTGCCCTGCCTTCCTCAGTGCTTCAGTGCTTGCCTTGCTATCCTCTGTGATCACACTTGCTGTGATCTTGGCCTCTCATGCCTGTGTGCAAAGGCTGTGCCCTGCCCTCTCTACAGAGGGGATGTTTGGACCCCCTGTAGGGTCAAAGATGCAGAGAGGACTTGTTTGGCCTTGACATTGCCCCTTGAACCTTCACAGTCCTCGAGCTGGAAGGATCAGTGCTTGAGGTATATTTGCAAGCTGTGTGGGAAATGACACTGGGATTGTGGATGGTGCCATGGGCTGGCTTCACCCAAACTGGCTGTGTTCCAGTGCTGCACTGGTGTAATAACCCAGTACACTGTGGAGGTGCAGTGGGTTTATTTAAAGAAATTATACGTAACCTGTGAATTGATTTCTTAAAAATGTTTAAGGGGTAGGTAGGCTTTAGTGCCATGCTTGCTAGGATTTGGCTGGAGGTGCTTGAGTGGGATAGAATCATAGAATCATCCAGGTTGGAAGACACCCTCAAGATCATCCAGTCCAACCATCCCACCCGACACTTCCACTGTAACCTCCAAACCACTAAACAATATTACCCAATGCCAGATGTCTCAGACACCTCCAGGAATGGTGACTCCACTGCCTCCCCGGGCAACCTTTTCCAGTGCCTGGCCACCCTAACAGTGAAAAAAAAATTTTTTAATATCTAATCTGAGTCTCCCCTGTCTCATCTTAAGGCCATTTCCTCTAATCCTCTCACTTGCAGGCATGGTAGAAGAGACCGACCCCACCTCACTACAGCCTCCTGTCAGGGAGTTGTAAGAGCAGTGAGGTCCCCCTTGAATCTCCTCCAGGCTAAACAAACCCAGCTCCCTCAGCCCTTCCTCATAAGACATGTTTTCTAGACCCTTCACAAGCCTTGTTGCCCTTCTCTGAACACACTTCAGCACCTCAGTGTCCTTTTTAAAGTGAGGGGCCTAAAACTGAACACAGTACTCAAGGTGTGGCCCCGCCAGTGCCAAGTACAGGGGCATGATCACTTCCCTGGTCCTGCTGGCCACACTATTTCTGATACAGACCAGGATGCCTTCTTGGCCACCTGGGCACACTGCTGGCTCATGTTCTATCAACCAGCACCCCCAAGTCCCTTTCCATTGACCAGCACAGGTTCGTGTGCTCTTTCCAATGGAGGGCGGGCACTGATGTGCCAGGGGAGCCTTTGCCTGGGGGTACCTTAAAGATCATCCAGTTCCACCCCTCTGTCATGGGAAGGGACGCCTTTCACTAGACTGGGTTACTCAAAGCCCCATCCAACTCTTAAATACTTAAGTGTTAAACACTTAAACACTTCCAGGGATGGGACATCGAACAAACTTTCTGGGCAACCTGTACCGGCTTCCCCAACACACAGTATTGCACACGTGTGTATATCGTGTGAAGCAGCACTTAAGGTTGCAGCTGGGGGGAAAAAAAAAAAAAAAAAAAAAAAAACCCAAAGCAAGTTTGCTGTAGAGAGGATGGGTGGAAGAGCCCGGTCCCGGCAGCTCAGGAGTGCCGGGGGCAGCCCCGCGGTCCCGCCCGGGGCCGGGCGGGGGCGGCCGCTCCCCGCGGAGGCGAGGCGAGGCGGGCGGAAGCAGGATCAGCGCCGTCCCTGCAAGGCTCCCGGCCCTGCACGCTCCCGGCCGGCACTGCGGAGAGCTCTCCGGCCTTCGGCGGCTTTTTCGTCGGATAACGCTCGGGACTCTTTTCACCCGGAAGCGTGAGTCGGAGTTTTTCCCGTCCCTGCCCGGCCCATTAGGTGTAGCGCGGTAGGGCGGGGCGGCGCCTCCCCGGCCGGCGGACCGGGGACGGGACACGGGAGGACAGGCAGAGCACGGGAGGACACGGGAGGACACGGGGCGCGGAGCTGGAGCCGCCCCCGGACGGGACGTTCGGTGACCGGCACTAGCGAGGAGAGCTGGGGCTCTGCCCTGGCGCCTTCCTGGAGAGGTGCGGAGCTGAACTTCCAAATGGAACAGAACCCAGGCACCCGCCGCGCCTCCCGGGGCAGCAGAAACCCCGCAGGGAAAAGGACAGCGGTGGAGGTGACGGTCCCACCTTCCTCTCCGGAAGCGTCAGGAGCGCTGTCCCAAGCACCTGCCAGGCAACACGCCCAGGGATTTCCCAAAGGGCCGCTCACCTTTGGTCGCTGTCACCGCTGGCTCAGACAGATGAACTCTGTACTCCTGGTACAGGTCCTGCGCACCGGTGCCCCCCGGGTGCTGATGCTCCTGTTCCTTCTCTCTCTCTCCCGCCTAGGAAAAGCTGTTCTTCCTCCCCTGGAAGGCCACAGCGCCGCTCTCCAGCCTCCGTGATTTATGTGTGACTCGGAGCAGAATGGATCGCTATCGATACTTCATCTTCAACCAGAGGAACATGGTGGTGCTGGGGATGTTCCAGATAGCCCTCAGCACGGTGTGCGTCGTCAGCGGGTTCATAGATGGCATTTTCAGAACAGAGTCTCAGCTGGGCAGAACCAGAGCTCCAATTTGGGCTGGGATGGTAAAGTTGTACTATAATTTCTATGCTTCCCCCCTTCTCCCCCCCCTATTTTCTAGCACTTATATTGGGAGTGGGAGGGAAGCCAGGATTTCTTGCTAGCTCTTCCCTGGTTTTCTGCTTTGAACCCAGTTAAAGTTTCCTTATCATGATATAGGCAGAAGAGTGCAAACAGACTTCCCTCTGAAGGAGCTAAATTAAATTCATTTCTACTCGATAATGTAGGAAATGGGGCATAGTGACAAGTGACAGGGAGTTTGTTGCAGAAGCATAGTGACCACAGAGAAGCCACCAAAGATGAGGAGGGGAACACTTCATCCTCACATCAGGTAGATGAACATCTGGGTGATGATCTGTGTCCCACAGCACAGTGCCCCTAATCCTCTGTACTGCAGTGGAGGTCCCTGCTCCCTGGCATTCAGGACCCTGCTGAGCCACACTGCAAGGAAATTGTGCTAAAGAGCTCTCTTCAGTCCAGAGGCTGCCCATCTCCTTTCAGTCATTTCTTTCTTTCCTCTGCAAAAGGTGTGTGGACTTGGGAAAGCAGTGCACATTTTTAGCACTTTAAATCAGACTTATGCCATCAGTTTCATTATTTGGCCAGACCCATAAAGCTCTGGTCAGAGGTAGCAAGGCCATGGGGGAAGCAAGTGGGCAGGATGCACGTCACACATGTCCTGGAGATGCTGCAGAGGAAAACAGAAGAAATGAGCAATTCTCTTCCCGTTTCTGACCCAACAGTTACTCTGATCCAAGCCTTGAAAACAAGGACTTTTCATCTGCGCTGTAGTAGTTTATCTTAGGAATGTGATACTGGTCTCCCAGTTACCAACTCCTTTTGTGCTCTGCAGGTGATGGGAGTCCCAGGCGTGCTGGCTTTGTTCTCCTCTCAGAGGAAGAATCCAATCCTTGTAAGCTGGAGGGGCAGATGGGTGGTTGTGTGTGTATGGGGCAGGGGCAAGATGCTGGGGCAGTCAAAAACTATCTGAGTAGGGAGTGAGCTGACTGGTCCTTCTGCAGGATTAAGAGCCCATTTCTTTGAGTTATCTGCAGAAGAGCTGCTGTGTTCATAAGCAAAAGGAGGGATGCAGTGTTACCTCGCTTTCTGCTGCAGCAGACAGGCACTGGGTCTAATAACAAGCAAAAATCTGTAAAAGCCCTTGGTTTCAAATGCTTTTCTTTTGGTGGTCCTTCATGTTGTTAAGGACTGTTTACACTAAAGTAGGAAACAAAGGCTTGCACTTCCCAGGCAGGTCTCTCCAGCCATGCAAACTCCAAGGGGGGATATTGTATGTAAATACAAGATCTCTAAGGACAGAGTCTTGGGGTAGCACCTGTGATTTAGATTTGGCACTCAGCTGTAGCTCACAAATTCGGTATCCTGGAAACCTTTACTGCTTTGTGTTTGGCTTCCTAGTGACTGTTGCTACTTGGTACGTTGTTGTGTTATGGGAGGTCAAAGGTTAGTAATTATAATGCTTGTTAGTACATTTGCAGGAGGATAGCTTTAATTCTTTTTCTCCCTAAAATTCTCTGTCTAGGTGAATGTACTGATAGGTGCTTCCATAATCTCTTGTGTTGCCATCCTCATCGTAATAGGTTATAGCTCCTTCACACTGAACTATGGTGAAGAGGAGGAGCTGAGTTCTGCCCCAGTCCATGTTATCCATACTGTAAGTATTGATATAATGATAATTTGCGGGGAACTAGACACTCTTAATCTGCAAACAGTACCAGGCACAGCTTATAGACAGAACCAGAATTCCAGGAGGTGTGCACACTAGGCCAGGTTAGCTGCTACCGCTTCTGAGTGCAAAAGGCTGTGGATTGAGCCATGAAAAAATACTGGTGCTGCTCATGAAAAGGTGCTGACTGCATTCCTGGCCTGGTTTGGGACAGCGATTGCTAGGCTTGAATCCTTTCCAGCATGCACTTTAGGTGATAAAGTTACAGCAGTTACAGGTCAGCTGGTTAAACCTGGGTATTGTTTCAAGTGTATCCTCCTCAGTAAAGCTGAAGAGAAGGAATGAGTTAGCCCTTTTATGCCTCAAACCTGGCACAAGCAGTGGCTCTCTGTGGGGGTGAAGGCATCCCAGGTGGATGAAGCTGACCATTAGTTTATTGCAGGACAAATCAAAATGTCAGGCTGCTAAGGTGCAGGACAGCAAGAAGACATTTCTCATTTTCAGTGTGAAGAAGAGCAGCCATCCCTTGGGTTTCTGCTCATGGTTAAAGCTATTTCCAAACCTGATGCCACTGCATAGCATCTCACATTTAAACAGTAGCCTTATTTTACTCCTTGTTCTGTCTGAGGATCACACTTGGCTTGTCCTCCAGAACTCAGAAAGAAAAGCCTTTAATAACACTGACTACGAGTCAACCTCCTACGATGCAGTCTCAGCATTCTTGCAGTCATTAGATTATTTTTGGTGGAGAGTTTCACTTTTTGAATGTGGCTTTAACGTCTCCTTTTCCGTTTGCAGAGGTTCATACTCAGTAAGGTGGTCAAGGGTGCTAACATAGCCATGCTGGCTGCATCTATCTGCAGTGCCTTTGTTGTGCTGGCCATGGCTTACTTGGGGTGCCGGAGCCTTCCACGCTGCTCCTGCTACGACAGCGTGACTGGGATGGTGAGTGAAGAGGCCAGGGCACAAGTTTATTCCTACTGAGGGGGGGTGGGAGGGGGAGAAACTGGGGAGAAGATGTGTTTTACTTCTATAAACCTAGTCTCAGCTTCACCTCAGTCTAATTCTAAGAAATTCACCTCAGGGCTAATTCTAAGAAATTAAGTGGATGTTAGAAGACATTTATACTTACTTTTTTTTTTCTTCTTTTACTACCTCTCTCTTATTTACAGTCTAATGTACAACTTAACATAAGTTATCTCTACTTTCCAAAACGTTTTTGCTACTGTGGCCCCAGTTCCTATGAATTCCTCAAAAACTGCTCCTCTCACCCTTAAACCAACAATTGCTCCTGGTACAGCATTTCAGAGACTTACTGGTACTTACACACTAGAACTTCAAATTCAGTAATAAAAATATCTCCTGTACTGTGTGTGAAGTGTAGGGGGGATGATGACATGCCACATTTACAGCTGATTTATAAGGACTCTGCCTCAAGTGATGGGGCACATGCTGTAGGTCTGCTAAGTGAGCTCAGTAAATACCAGTTGCTTCTCTGCTAGAATAATTCTATGCTGTGTTATTAAATATCTCTGATCATCTGATTTGGTAAGGAAATAATGGGTCCAGGCCACAGGGCAGCTGTCCTTGGCTAAAGACACTGAGCGGGTAACGTGAGGTTGCTGTAAACTTTCAAGCTAAACTTGTTAGGAGGAGTGGACTGCAGAGACATTTAAAAGGAATTCAGGTGTATCTTGAACAAATTCACAGGTGAGGTATTTGATGGTGCTGTTTCTTTCACAGGAATGGTTGCAGCCTACTGAGGACCAAAATCAGGCTGTGGAAATGGTTTGTGCTGTACAAAGTGAGTACCCCAGGGATAAGGAACATTCTGAAAAAGCTTTACATCCCAGGCCAAAATCCTGATAACCAAAAGGGAGGCAAAGGGAACTCAGGATTTTGTGCAGGTGTCTACATCAGGTTTAATGGTTTCCTCTTTCCCTCCCCACGCAGGCTCTGGGGGCAGAATTTTTAGCTTCCCAGATCGGTTTCCAGCCCAGGATGTGGAAGCAGAGGAAGACACATCCAAACCTCCACCATACACCAGACTGACTTGAGAAAGTGGTTGAACATTTTGTTCAAACATGGCAAGAGAGATGTAACAAGGTCTTAATCTTTAAAGATGGTTATGCACTTTTCCTTGGCCTCTTGAAAAACACACACAGGAAGAGAGAAGTATTGAATGCCAAACATTCAGCAGAGACCACAGTGCAGAGGAGAAGATCTGCAGGTGGTTTTGGACATTCAGACTTTGTATGGTTAAAATACCTCATTGCCTCTGGAAAGCGTGAGCATTTTTTTCCTCTGGCTTTTGTACTGAAATCATGTTTTATTTCACTAGAACTCATCATGCAATTTGTGTAGCACTGCTAGCCTTAGGTATTTAAATATTAAATACAACTGAATGTTTTTCAAGTGCTGTCTCAATTTCTCCCTCTTACTGAGTGAATTATTTGGATGATACAATACCTGGAGAAGAATAATGAAGGACCCACTTCAACCCTGAGCTTCAGAGCATTTTCCTTTTCTTCTTAGTAGTAGTAGGGGCAGGTAAAGTTTTTGATATGAAGCCTTGACAATGCCATTCAGGTAACTCTGTCAGAATGTGGATTCTGAGAGGTGTACATGTGTCACTACAATTAGTTTAATGCTGAAGTGTAATGCTAGAGTGTGGTAGGAACTGGAGCTGCAGTAGCTCCTCTTACAGAGTCACAAATACTCTGAATTCAGTTCAGGTTTTTCTGTTTCGACTTTGGAGACTGAAAGTTTAAAATAAATGCTTATTTTGAAAAATTAGTTTTCAAACCCAAAGGTATTTAGCTTCAATCTACCTATAAATGACTAGGAATGAGTGCCTGCTTTTAGAGGTTCTCTAATTACATACTTTTTCTTTTCAGTTAAGGTAATATGAGATTAAATTAATATTTAGAATCTTATGACTATGAATAATATGTTTTCAAGTAGAAGGAGGGAATGTTTATTTTTTTTTTTTAGCTAGGAAATGCTGGATACTTAAAAGATATGTAAAACTGAGATGGACTGGTGACTAGAATTTACTTGGTGTATAGTAAATGCTTATTACTTTTCAAGGTGAATGTTACCTTCTAGACTGAGCTATTTTACAAGATCATTGGTACAGATATATTCTGTGGAAAAATTGTGTTGGTGCCTTGCTAAACTTGATTTGCATCAGAGAAATTGCTCTAAATGCTTAAAACCAAACCACAGCAAGAACACAATAAAATCTTTATTCTCTTAAACCTCTTGTTAGGGAACACAGATGTTATTGTGAGGGAAAGACTTGAAGCACCTGTTCATTTAGCTCTTCAGTTTTAATTTGCATTTGATGCTGTAGTTTCTAATAGCTATCCTGATAGTCCAAATAATCACTCAGATGAAAAAGATGATAGCAACAGTAACCAATGCATAGCAGGTAATGTACATAATGGAATAATTAGGGATTAGCAGACAATCCCTTAATATTTGCAGCCTAATCCTATGCATGCCAAACTCACATTTTCCTATATCACTCAGTTTTTACCCTTAGGCCTTCATCTTCATTTCCTATAGTTCTACTCCATTAAGCAGATCCTCCTGAAATAGCCAGTTCCATTTGTCAGTCCTCTGTTCTGGGCCAAGGGTAATATTTCTCATGCCCTTCTTCCTTTTGTGTCTTCAGTGAAGTTTATCATTCTATATCATACATTGGTCCAGAATCAGACATGTGATTAAACAGTAAAATGTAACTAGTTCTGGGCACTAAATAAGACCACTTGTTTCATCTTCCTTTCTGGACTAGGTTGGGAGTTATACTTAGCCCAGTCAAACTTTTGCTTACAGAAGATTAATTTGTTTTTCATAGCATATGGCATAGTATTTTCTAAGGGATTAGACCTAAGGGACCTAAGCACTGCATTGTTTGGCATAAAACTTTGAGGCTCCAAATAAAATTTAATCCAGGGATTTTAGGACTCTTGGAACATTGGGATTAGATTTTATTTTGAAAACAAAGCTGGGAAGAGCACTGAACAAGTGGGAAGTTGCTGCTCTGTCCCTTCTGAAATGCAGCCAGAGGAAGCATTGCTGCTGCAGTGTTTTTGTACAATAACTCTTCGGCTGAGCACTTCCCCAGGGTGTGTGGAATATAATTAGCACTGGTCTTTGAGAAGAATCACAGTCAGTTCTTCACCTGTAGCAGGACTTTTAACCTCCAGCTAATTCCGAGCTCTGGGAAAAGGAGCTGTGCTCACTGGGCATTCTGGTGTCTCAGGAGAAGTTCATGGAGAGCTTGTGGAAGTCCTTCAATTTATTGCCTAGTGATCTCTGAGCAAGAGAAAGTCCCAGATTCTGCTCCCTACTCTCTGGGCAGTTCCATGTGTTTTGGGTACTCATAATCACCAGATAAAATACATAAATAAGCATCACAGGTCATAGGAACCCATGGAGGGAGTTTCCAAATCTCTAATCTTCAGCCACCTTTTGGTAAGATGCCTTGTTTTATTTAGGATATAGACACTGGTCTTTTAGAAGACAAATAAGTTTTGACTTTCTTGTTGCTGTTTAATTTGCCCTTTAGCCAACATGCTGAGGAGGTATGTGCTAAGTGCTAAGAAACACTTATGTGGAACTATCTTTACAAAACCAGCTCCCTCCACATCTGGATTTTAAAAAAAAAAAAAAAAAAAAAGAAGGGTTGGAGATTTTATGATTCTATGATTTTGGGACCCATTCTACTAAAACTTATTACAGATCTAGACCAAGGTCTTCTGTTCTAGTTTCTCTAAGGGACCTCTCAGTCCTCTAGAGCAAGGAGCTAGAGCTTCCAGTCAGCTTCTGTCATCTCCTGAAGTACATAAAATTCCCATATGTGCTTTATGATTCACTTTTAGGTGAATATCAAGTGTTTATCTTGCCTGCACGTTCTGAGCATGAAGTGGTAGATGACTTATCCCATGATGCAGACTAACACAGCATTTGAACAGGGCTTGGAGAGTAAGTTCCCATCTTGAGAAAGTGCTGTGAGTAGAAGGATAAGTCGTGCCCACCATGAGGCATGTAATTCAAGGAATGACCTCAGATAAGATTGATCTTATTGAAACATATAAAGTGCCTTTTGTGGTCCCAAGAGTAGTTCTTGATTTTTTTTTTCTCTAGAGATTGAAATCTTTTTCATCACTAAAGCAAAAATGTCAGGTTTAGATTAGATACTAGGAAGAAAATCTTCACTGTGAGGGTGGTGAGGCACTGGCACAGGTTGCCCAGGGAAGCTATGGATGCCCCATCCCTGGAAGTGTTCAAGGATGGAGCTTTGAGCAACTTGGTCTACCAGAAGGTGTCCCTGCCCATGGCAGGGGGATCAGAATGAGATGATCATCAGAATGAGATGGTCACTTCCAAACCATTCTATGAAGACATTTTACACTTTTTATTGTAATCTTGAACAGAAAAATACTTAAACCTGTGTAATGAAGTCCCAGTGGACTCTGGCACCCCTCTGTATGTAAACCAAGTGTCTGTCTTACTGACTTTAACCATTAAGATTATTCACTGCTGGAAGTATAAAGAAAGGTACTCAGATCAAGAGAGCAGCCCCAAGCACCAGCCTCCTTCCCCAGCCCTCCTCAGGTCACATAGTGCTTCCTCTGCTGCCTGGCTTCAGCCAGGGGAGCTGTCCCCATCTCTGGGTGCTTGGGCCAGCACCTTATCTTGGGGCTGCAGGTCCTACTCTGGCAGCTGGAGGCTTGACTACATGTCACAGAAAGCCAAAATCTTTCTAGCTTTAGTTCCAAGTACCTTCATGTGTTTGCCTACAGAACCACAGAGTGGTTGGGGTTCAAAGGGGCCTCTGAGATCATCTTGTCCAACCCCCCCTGCTACACCAACCAAAACACAGCTGGTGTCATGTTCACTTGATGGTGTCAGTGCTTGGATTACTTTAATATAGTAATTCACACATTGTAATTCAAAAGGGATGCTGTGCTTTTTTCTCTGGTACGGTGCCTGTCAGCGAGAATCAAAGCACTGAGCGTGACTGCTTTCCCCATCCTCAGATGCTCCTGGCATAACTCCAAACCATCTGCAATGAAATGCTGGGGGTTTTCTCCTTGGTTAACATAAACTGCTGTTCTTGTACATTAAAAGAAAGCAAGACTCCCTGAGAGGTTATTGTGATCACTAATAACTAAAAGCAGCCTGGCTTTATCAGTCTAAAAAGGATTTTGAGTTGCTAAAATGCACTGCTCAGCCTCTGCATCATTTCTGGGTGGAAGTTATGGTCCCATCCAGAAGTACTATTCCATAACTAGCCATTGCAGTATGAGATGGTACATACTAAACATCATTCAGCAGCGTTTGACTGCTGGTTGAACAGAGAAATCAGCTTTTATTGTGAGCTTGCAGAGCACACACGCTGCTAGTCCTGGTTTGAATGCTGCGCTGTTGCATCAGCTCAGGTAACTCCTGAGCCGAGGGTGGCCCCTGCCACCACAACTGGTGCAGGTCAGGTCCTCCTGGCACAGCTCCGAGGCACAAACTGAATACCCAGCCCAGCTTTGCAAGCCTTTGATCAGTGGCATTCAGTGACAGGCAGAGCTCTGCCAGCATGGCAGGTACTCCTTTGGCTGTGAAATAGCCTTTAGCAGCAGACATTAGTGTGTAAAAGAGAAGTCTGCTCCATGCTACTTCTAAATAAAAATATAAGTAATTGATTCAGCAGCAGCTCTAAGGCCTTGAAGGCCCTTATTTTCTTTTAGAGTCCTTCCAGTGGTGCAACCACAGCATCCCTGTTGCAATACCAGCCCCTCAGGTCACTCGCAGACACCCAGTTTCAACAGCTCTTTCTAGGAAAGGTGGGTTGGTTTTCCAGAAAAGTGACAGCTGCAGTATGGAAATTGGTGGAAACTGATTTCCAGTTTAATGTCAGTCCCTCTAATTGGTTAGCACTGCAGAAAATACATTCCTGATTGCAGTTTCCAGTGCTATATTTAGTGGCCCGTTCCACATGCCGGTTACGGCGCCTTCCCTGAGCCTGACCATATTTCCAGGGACATTCCATGGCTTGTGTTACCCCCAGCTTTCACTGGTGGAATTCAGGTGCATTTTTATTTATCATGCATACACACATCCACAGCACCTCCAGTGGAAAGGGCCTTGCCATTTGTTCCCAGACTTTTCCTCACTGGCAATATCCCAGGAACCAAGCTGACTTGCCCTTTCCCTTTTTAGGGTGGGCAGGGTGGCTGCTGGAGGGAATGGTCACACACGACAGGGTGGCCCTCTGTGTCGAATGGTGGGTGTCACAGCAAGTGCACCTCAGCATGATGCCTGCAGAACAGTGAAAGCAAAGTCCAGGGGGAAAAAAAATAGAAATTTCAGGTTTCACCTGAGCCCAGAGCTTCCTCTTCACCAAAACAGCCTGCACACGTGAGCGCTGCACTTCAGTCACACTCACCTTCCTTCACTTCAGAAATGGAAATAACCTGGTGTTTTGAAGAGGAATGATAGATGCCAACGTGACCCCTTGAAGCCAAACATCCACCTCTTGCTTGGTGTGTTGGAAATTGCTGGTCAAACCGGAGCAGCCAGGAGCAGGACACCAGCATCTCACTTTTGACATGAGTTCAGGACCCTGGTTATGGACACCAAGCACTTTGTGCTCACCCTGTGCCAGCATTATTTGTGTTAAGTCAAAGACAAGGCATTTACGTAGGCTGAGACTAATGTTGCCCTATTCCCTGATGCACAGAACAAGGCACACAAAATCCCCAGCCAGAGTTAATCACAGGGCCATAATCAGAAAGCTAATCAGGGAAGCTGATTCTGTAAGCTAATGTTCAACTAAGGGCAAAGAATTTTCTGAAGTCATTTCCCGGATAGAAGGGGCAGGAGGTGCTGGGGAGGAGGGGAAGAGGAGGAATCTTCATTCCAGTGAGAATCAGGGAA